AATGGGCGTTGTTCCAAAGCCGTGTTGGAAAGAGGATAGGAAAGCTATATTTTCCGGAGGAGCTACTGTTACGGTATCTTGTTTTGATGTAGATATAAATACATTGTTTTTATGCTATTGTCTTACGTATGATTGTTCTTAGCGTCAGTAATGTCTGACCAGTGACGTCAAGCCTTCCTTTGGCTAAATTGCTTAAATTATATCGAAAATATGTGAATATTTCGATATAAATCTTTAATATTTCAAGAGAATTCAAATAAGAATTCTTATAACAGTATACCAATAAAAATAAAAATAATAATGGAGAAACTTAGTACAATGTCGTAGTGAGGAAATAAAGGTGAATGAAAGACCCAATTTATGTGTAAGTGTATTCAAAATATATTTTTTTTCCGATTTAATCTCCATCCATTCTCAAGGTACTGTATATATAGTATTCTCATATTGTATTTATTGCCTTGAGAAAGAATGTAGGTTACATGCGAAAATATGGGGTTTTAATACACTTACACATGTATTGGGTGTTTCCATTCACTTTCGATAATAAGTGAATAATTATAGCCGTCAAAAAAATTCAAATAGTACATCCTCTTTACGACTCTATCACCCATCAACTTGAAGCGGATAGATGCCTTAACTCTATCCGTTCCGGAGGAGGAGGTTTCGCTGAAAAAATGAAGCTGACCTACACACTGATTCACACTGATGCCAGCCCTACACCTTGAACCTTCATACTGATTCACACTGATGCCAGCCCTACACCTTGAACCTTCATACTGATTCACACTGATGCCAGCCCTACACCTTGAACCTTCATACTGATTCACACTGATGCCAGCCCTACTCCTTGAACCTTCTCACTGATTCACAGTGATCAGTGTGATCAGGACTGGTTAGACAGTAACCAGTCTACCATACAATTTATTCATCACTAATCATACGCTCCATAAATCCTATCTACGGGGGCGACAAAAGACGTGACACATAAACAAAATTGCCTTTTAAAACAAACTTTGTACAAATAAAACAAAAGACAATAATTTTTGTAATGTGTCTTCATAATTTTTTGTAATATAATTGTGTAGAAAAGGCGCTTCATTCTCCCTCCTGCGTCGTTGGAGGAGGTTGCCAAACCTCTTAAATCTCCTAGTAAATTAATTTATGATCCTCCTACGTGTCCATTACATATCTTAAGTGTTGTATTACTCTTATTTAAGTGCAGGAGTAAGTACAGTTCATCATCGTAAGTAGACATGCGTGTCTCGTTAGTGTAGAAGTTGTTAGGGTTTGAGGTTCAATTGAACTTCCGAACTGATCGAGAGCAACTAGGGGCCGACCCTCAAGAGTTTAGGCGGGTGAGAGAGAATGTCAGGGAACCGGCCCAGGTGAAAGAGGGGGAGAGTCAATGCTATTCATCGGTTATATAGCCGAATTTCGCTGGGCAATCAACCAATCAGCGATTGCACATTAGAACTACGTGAGGGTATATATAAAAAGGGGGCCATTTCCTGTTTTTCCTGTTTGATAATGATGGCGTTTACTTTGACAATTCAAAAGCTTTGTAAATATGTGTATCGGGACAACCACTATAATCCTTACATTGCTATAGATAACTGAACAGAAAAAAGAGAAGTTCAAACTTGAAAACTTAAAAGCAACAAATAAAAACCAATATTCGTAAGCATATGAAAATAAAATAATCTTCGATACATAAAAAATTATATAATTATTGAGCTTGGAACTAAGATGGATATCAAAATCGTCTAAAATCCCTGACGTTCGAAGTTCGAGATAATTACGTTGGTGTTCACCAGACCGTATCTCTCTCGCTCTCTCATTATTAAACTTTTTTTTTTCCAGGAATGAAAAAAACAAGATATTTGTCGAGACCGCTGTTTAAAGCTCCTCGCTTCTCTCGTCAGGATAATTGGGTGACCTCGTGTGTGTACCATTTGAGGAGGGTGCGTGTGTGTTCGTATCACGGAGGGAAAGTCCGTGTGTACGTATGGGTTCGTGAGCGCGTGAATGTCTATGCTTGCGTGTTCGTATCAGGGAAAGTGATGTGTGGAAATGATAGATCAAAAGGCGAAGGAGAGGGTTGGACGAAGGTATGAATAAGGAGGAGAGAGGGATAAATAGTTCAATACGAAGTTCAGACAAGTAAATTAAATAATACATAGGGATTAAATAGGGATTAAATTTGATTTAAATGGGATTAAAATGGGGATTAAATAGTACACAAAATTCTACAAAATATGAAACAAACTCTATAAATGCACAGTTTAAACTCCAGGACACTTGACATTCCCGACTCTCTCTCTCACCCCTTTATGCCAGCACCTTCAGGACAGTCTTAAAACAAGTAACTTGTAAAGTAAACAAAATTCTAAGCTCTTACCCCCGCATAATTAATATCCGGACATGTGCCAGGGAAGGAAGTCTTCGGATGAATGCCATTTGAACATTTTCCAAGAGAAATAACAAATATAAATGTACCTCCCTTGACTCCACTGTTTATTCTGTTTCTAAAATATTTTGTATATATTTATAAAATATATTTTATTTGCAAGTTTTATTTAAATATAATTCATTTTCTTCTTTTCTAATTTTATATTATGTGTTAATGGAACTGTTAACTTAATTATTATAAAAGGACAGACCGAAACGTTGTCACTTTAATTAATTTAATTTCATTAAATTGGGTTTCATTCGTGGGTTGGAGTCTTTTCTGCTACGTAAACTACTTCGTTTCTACTACTTTAATTTCTGAAATGATTGATGTATATAATCCTATTTATAGGTCATTCATTCATTACACACAGAAATCACAATAGCGTGATGCATCAAATGAACAAATCCACAAGGCCCGTGAGGATCGATTAAGCTAGCTCAGTCGATTAAGGCGGCGTCTGGGATTCTCTCGGACGTTGATTCGAACCCTCGTCACGGCCCTTGAGGATTTGGTCATTAATTCACTTCTATGAATAACGATTCTTTATAAGATTTAGATAATATTTAAGCTGTGACACTGATTGTTCCTCAGTGTTGCTCACTTGGAGTGTCTGGAGAAACATGTGTAAATGGATTGCATCTGGAGAACAAATTTGAGATATCAATTTATATTAATGTCACTATTAGTGATACCTCGATATTTTCACTATTTACCTCACTTCACTCTAATAGTGATATCTCACTATTTAACTGCTATAAAATAAGAAACACAGAACTCTTAAATCTACTACATGCAAAATCCAATTCAGCTATTACTATATTGAAAAATATTATATCAAGATCGACAAAGACATATATATTTAAAATGGCAGGCAATGATGAGGAATAAAATGTATTGAAATGGAATAAGTCATCGCATTCAAATCCAATATTTTCCCGAATTACACATCGTAATATATTTTGACAACTTAAATAATACGAATTATGAAGATTTTTTTAAATCCTTGATCACTCATGGTCTTCATTCATTAACGATGAATTTTGAGAATATGTTTAATATCTCCGGCAACTAAATATATTAAATAACTTTCGTTTCAAAGGTGTTCATTCACTCAGCCAGGATCGATACTGGTGACACGTGTGCCTAGTCAGGCGGAAATAAGTCAACAGATAGCGTTATATTTTTCTTATTTTCGCCCTTAAATCTCCCCAATACGAGACGTCTCAGGCGTTGTTCCTATCGTTCACACCACCCTACGTCCCGAGTCATAACTAGTGAAAAAGAGACTACTATAATATTATATGTATATATATTACATAATTTTCATGTAATATCTATTTCATGTCTCTTTCTCTTGTCATGTCTCTTTCATCTAAAACAGTCCCGCCAATTTAATTCGCGAATTAAACAAATTCCCAACACTGATAACCTGTTTAATCATACAAGTCGTTTGAGGAACGGGGGGGAGGGGAAGATGTAAGAAGATAGTTTGTGGAAGTGCCAATAGGAAGCTGAATGGTTCTATTGTGAATGAGTAATGGGATACGGTGGTTTTATACGAGGGTAATGGGATATGCTGTTAGATCAATAGGGTGTGGAATGGGAGATATTACATTTTCTTAGACACTTGAATCCATCCAGGTAATTGGTCTTGTAGAAATCCCAGAGACTCGGCTGAAGAAAGGGGGGAGGGGGCGGATTGAAGTGGGATTCAATCAGCCTATTCAATCCAACCAATTCAAATTCGATTAAGTGGTGTAAATGGAATACCACACTTAATTGAACAACATTTAGACGGATCTGCTGAGTGACACAGAAATGGTTAAGCCCTGTCCCTTGACTGAATGGGAGGTGATTTAAACTGGTCAACAGACCGAACTCAACAGCATTCAGACTGGATCTTTGACTGAATTACCCGGGCATTTAGATGGGTTCTTTGAACTGGTAGTGGTTTAGACGGACTCTCAGTTCTAGATAACATGGCAGTTTCACAGCTTCTCATGGAATTAGGGTAGGAAAGCAAGCGGGTCCGCAGGGATGGAAAAGGCACGTATAGAGGGTTACCCATTGTTCAGACAGACATGTATAAGGATTCCTAGGGCAGGAATTAGCGTGTAGAAGGGCCCCAGAGTTCGAATAGGCATGTAGAAAGGTCCCCACAGTTTGAATAGGCATGAAGAGGCGTCCCTAGGGATGGAATAAGTAAAAGGGTCCATTATGGTAGGAAATTGGCCAAGCATGCAGAAGGTCCGCATGGATGGAATAGGCACGTGAAAGGGTTCCCGTAATTGGAATTGACACTTAGAGGGTCCACATTATTTTAATAGGCATGTATAGGGGCCCAAGGGTTGGAAAAGGCACATAGAAGGGCCTCCGTGGTTGAAATAGGGTCATAAAGGAATAAAAAATTTTGGTAAAATATTTGATAATATAACTGAAATAGCATCTTTATATGCAGTATATACGACATATAATTTGTATTACATGATGGATACCATATATGGCACGATTGCGAGAGAAGGAAATATATAGTAGAGGTCTTCCGTAATATTATTTTAGTAAATGAAATGTGGCAAAGCTGGGCCGTAGACTTATTTACTAAAGTTAATAATAATGTCCATTAAAACAAAAATGTCCATTAGCGAAATATACTGACAGAGATGGGTGTGAAAAATGTTAACGAGGTCATTCTTGCCCGATTCTTTGATACAAGATGAAGTAACACATAATATACAGCTATACATACACAGATCTAAGACGAAGGTCCGATTGAAAGTCACAGCTTTAGATAAACAGTTATAACTCCTGTTGCAACTAGGACTCGGGTAACAGGCTGTGACTTAGGATACATATACGGGTATAATAAGAGTGATAACTAACAGAGGTAATGCATGCGCTGAAGAACCAACTGGTAGGTTGTCATATAAATTTAATAAACAACAAATCATTTTCCAATATTCTCACAATCATGCTTCTGTTTTCATGCTCGTGTGATGCATTTTACTACTTGTTCCAGTCATCACTTTATAATATGGTACTCTACCTTAAAGTTTCATATAAGTTGTCAAATCTTACCTCCTTCAACCACTGAAATAGATACGACATTTATTAGAGATAAGAAAGCCACTCGAGTAAGAACACACAAGTTACACCAAAACATTGAGTACGTTTTCTATCATGCGGTTTATTCTATTAGTTTTCTTTGTCACTGAATGTATTGGGTGACAATAACAAAAGCATTGATTCATTCTTTTTTTTTTTTATAAATTGTTAAATACTGAATAGCAAATAATAAAAAAGATAAAAAATTATATATATTTATATATATGTCTTAGAACTTAGAGTAGAGATGGTCAATGAGACGACGCTTGTACAAACAGAGCGAAAGATGACCTATTTGTTATTAGGATAATGCAGGATATACAATCGTGATGTAAATTAATAAAATTAAAATAAGCCGAGACCTATTATGCAATGTTGCTCGGGTGTCCTGGGATTCCTGTGCAACATTGATAATTGTTTTATAAAGAATGCTGCTATTTGCACACGTGTCAAAGCAAATCTTGCAGGTGGAAAAGAAACATGATTAGTTGTTCCTTGAGGGGAGAATCACAACAAACCAAAAGTTCCAATATTTACGTATATTGTGTATAGTTCCAAGACTTAATCATGTATTAACAGTGATGCTGTATTACCTGTGTGAGACTATAGATACGGTTGTGGACAGCCATGTATGGGTTGTGGACAGCCATGTATGGTTGTAAACAGCCATACATGGGTTGTAGACAGCCACGTACGGTTAAGCACAGCCACGTACAGAGTTGGCAGCAAACCGTAAAAATTATATCTTGGCAAAATTTCTCAAATAATTTTTGTTTAAACAATATACAAATATTCTTTATCAAATTAATTCCTCTTAGATCGTATTTATCTATTTTCTCGCCTTCTCCCGCTGACCGAGTATCGATATTCACCGAGTTTTAAGCCCAAACACTTCCGGTGATACGAGTCAATCCAAAATTATGCTTAAAAAGTTATTTCAATGATCCTCGTTTACTGAAGATACGACAAAGATAATGGAACATTAACTAGGGCTATAGAGCAAGTAAACTAAGTCGATTATAAATATAGAAGCATTTATGAAATTTCAACTTGAATTTGTAATTAAAATTTCAATATAATTCTTACTCAATAAAATCTCTTGGCCTAAATTCTAAAAATCTGGATTTCTTTGGATTTCTTTAAAACGCTGGGAAAAAAACTCCATATTCTTAGTTAATGGGTAAAATCCATTCAGATATATGCTTACCTAATTGCGAATATCGGTATTTCAGAGAACACGCTCTCTCCAGCAGCGAAATATCACACACTCTTTACCCGGAAATTGTAAACGTGGTTCAGGCAGTAAGGCGTTGAATAATACAGCACCAGCTGGCTACACACGCCCCTCCCTGTATCTCTGAGTGTGCGTGTGGCAGGTGAGCGAGTTACCACTCACGTAACTTGGCCTTCACAGCGTCCTCGTAGCCTTGATGTCATCCTACATTAGCTTTACGTGTTCAAAAGTTCTATCCTCACGTCTAAACACCATCATTTCTACTGATAACAAAACAACTAAACTCCTATATCCACTTCCGATGGATTTGCAAGACCAAGAATCGCCATAATATGTTGACCAGACCACACACTAAAAGTTGAAGGGACGACGACGGTTCGGTCCGTCCTGGACCATTCTCAAGTCGATTGTCTCACAATCGACTTGAGAATGGTCCAGTACGGACCGAAACGTCGTCGTCCCTTCAACTTTTAGTGTGTGGTCTGGTCAACATACTTCAGCCACGTTATTGTGACTCATCGCCTGCAATCGCCATAATACCAATTGAGCAGTTTAGAAACGAAAGATTAGTAGAGTTTTAGTGGGGAAAGATGACAGATAAACCTTGAGTTAAGCAACTTACGTGCAAGGCTCTTTCTCCTGAGCTTGGAGACGCGTCTGACGAGGGCCGGGCCCGCGTTCGAGAGCAGTCGGGAGAGTCTGCGGATCGGGTTCTTAGGTTTCTCTTCCTTGTCATCTTCGTTTGCTTCACCTAGACCAAGGACAGGGAAGAAGAAGGTTATTAGAGTCCTTAGTGTCAGTAAGGTCTTAGTGTATATATAATCATTCTTTTACAAGTTATGAAAGTAATGCAATTAGTCATTTTCATTATTGCTTGGCATGATATGGTCTATCTTAAGCATCTTTTCATTTAAATGGTTCATACTGATATTAAATACAACTGTGGGAATATACAATGATACATTATATATTATACATCTCCATCACAACTTAGAGACTTATGTACTCTCACCACAGATTCTCTTTGTATTTTCTGATTAACATTAGCAACCCCTTCAGTTCCCTCGCCTGACTGGGTAAACTTAACACTCACCGTCCTTCGGCAGGTGGACCGGCGGGTGCACGGAGCTACGTCGGCGGCCCTTGGAGCCCCTACGGGAGTCTCTGCGTGACACCCGTCTGGAGAGCTGCCGTCGAGGGCCCCCAACGGTACTGTTTCGACGGCCCCGTGACGTCCCTCCCACGGGCCCACCGGATCCGCTGCTCCTCTGACGAACCAGCAGAGGGATCCCGCTGTAAAGAGACAGCCAGTGTCAGGATACGAACTCAAATTGGGAATATGCTGGTGAAATGGAGGTATAGAAAGGCGGTTGTGAAGGGAAAGCGCTAAACCGGAATGGTTTGTGTAGAAGGCGGAATGGATACGGTGACAGGATAGTAGATGGGATAGGTCAGGGTGAAGGAATTGGTGATAAACTTCTTGGACCATCGGGGCTCGAACGCCGGCCTGCAGGAAGAAAAGTCGTTGTTGTTCCAATGTTGATAGAAAATTAATGTAAGAAGAAGAGGGTAAAGTACTAAATAACGAAGCACATTCCTACTGATGAAATAAAGCTCTAAATGATGTGATTAACAATAAAATCAAGTAATATCAGCATAAAGCAGAGTGTTTAAAACATTCCTCATATATAACAACCATGTTTTCCTTACCTAGAACAAATTTATATAATTCATTAAAATCGCAAAAGCATAAAGTGTCGTCTAGGTAACAGGACAATAGGGAGGACTACACCCTCATCTCATCCTTGGCTAATTTAGCTAATCCTCCCCTCCCCCCCCCTCACCTAACAACCAACATAAATTTAATATACGATGAAAAATAGCGACTCACAAAAAATTATCGTTTTTTAATTCCACACTTTGAATATGTTTAGTGGTGGTTTGGGTTCGTGTTTTTCCCGATAAAGTTCCGACGATGGATTTTGTACGCTTTGGCAATGTGAAGGAACGGGCTGATCCAGAATAAAAGATTTTCAACATCCATCAGTTTCAGGAGACTATGGAGTTGCGCTCTGGTTGTCGGTCTGGAGTGGCCTCTCCCGGGCCAGATTCACGAAAGCACTTACGCAAGCACTTACGAACCTGTACATCTTACCTCAATCTTTGGCGGCTTGGTTTCCAATTATTAAATAGTTAATGAGCTCCGAAGCACCAGGAGGCTGTTTATAACAATAACAACAGTTGAATGGGAAGTTTTCATGCTTGTAAACTGTTTAATAAATGTAACCAAAGCCGTCAAAGATTGAGGAAAGATGTATACGTTCGTAAGTGCTTTCGTGAATTTGGCCCAACGTAACGCAACGCAACGCAAAGGGCTCAACGTAACATACGAGATGTTGAAACTCTCTTTTCCGGATCAACTTATCACTACCTCATCACTAAATAGTAGAAATTAATAAAGGGATTACAGTGCAAGTGCCACTTACAGTTTTGCAAATATTCCAAGCAATTTTACATGCAAATATATATGCAAACATGATAAATAATAGAGCCTCATGTGGATACCTTTCGTGGCAATAGGCAAGTCAAGCTCCTGTAACCCTCCCGACTTTTATAGCATGAATTCGCCGAAATTCCAATTTTTTCGTTCAATTACTCGATATAATTTTAGCCTCTATACAGACAACATATTTCAAATCTTCCCCAAACAAAAATACAAGTGAAAATGTCTGGACATCTGGAAGGCCGTACAGAAAGCTCTGTTAATAATACAGTGTCAGTTTATTGACAGAGCTGTAATAATACAGCTCTGTCAATAATACAGTTCCAAGCATAATTGGAATGCCTTGCGATGACTACAGTAGAGAGCACGAGGATGGTAATCTGTGTGAAGAGGAGCAGGTGAGCTCAAGCTTAAGAGTTCGTGAGAGGAAGCCGCGGTTCTCAGGTGTACTACATATATTTCTCTCTAACACACAAACACTTATAGACTCTTGAGCTCTTTCTCATCTCCTGTATCTCAGGGAAACTCACCGGGTAGCCACCTTCAGGAAGAGACGACGCAGCGCCTCCTTCATGCTAGTGAGAAGGCCAACAGGAAGACTTCTCCTGCTTCCAGTGGCCCTCACCCTGCTGGTCATTCACTCTCCCCTCTAACCGTGTTCTTCAGCGAGGGGGGAAGGGTGGTTTTTCACGCTTAAGAATATATCCGTTTACATGGCGAGTCTTTTGAGTCTTTTCTGTTCTTTTGTTTGGAGATTTATTTTTATTTCCTCTTTTATAATTTATTTTTTCCTCTTTATAATGAGCTGGAGCTTTGAGAGCATTTCTTCGGTAAAATAAAGCTCGAGCAGATTTAAGAGTTAAGTTTGTGTTAACTTAAACACGTTAACACAATATGTTAACTTGTGTTAACTTCTAACAATTTATTTCCCTATATCAGTACTACCGAAATTTGCCCATATTTATTATAAATAAAATGTAATCATTGTAATAGTTTGCCCTGGAGATAATCAAGATAATTTAGACACACGGATAGAGCCGCCGAGATGTATATACCCCCGCTATATCAGGTATGTACATAGTATAGATATAATTATGTCAGGTAATATATCTATAGACTTAAGAGAGTCCGTTTGTCTGTATGAGGAAGAATGCTTGGGGCTTGACTTGCCTAACTTTGTAGGGTGAATGGTCTAGGCTCTAGGGGTACAGCACAACCATAGGTTGGTCGTGGTCGGTCCTATATTGTTCTATTAATTAAAAGAGAAGGTCGAGCCTAATATTGACTGTCCCTTCTTCCTACGTGATCGGTGAAAAGTGGTTTGCCGAGTCCCTAGACTGTTAGGAATTTCTGAAAGACAGAGAGAGAGAGAGAGAGAGAGAGAGAGAGAGAGAGAGAGAGAGAGAGAGAGAGAGAGAGAGAGAGAGAGAGAGAGGTTATACAAAATAGAATTGTAAAGGGATACACAAAGGATGAGAGGGGAAATAATTTTTTACAGAGAACAAGGCCATAACAGAAAAAAATAATAAAAGGCAGAGTAAAAAAATCTTTAAACAAGCTAAATAAAAAAAATAAAATAAAAAAATAGGCAAAACACGAAACTGAAAATATGGTTCCAATAAACAAAAAAAATTATTGATTACAAAATTGGAAATAACAAAACAGCAAGTGAAGTAAAGACGGTGATGGTAGAAGTAGAGGAAATTGAGAATGGGATCCATAGGTACAGAAAGATCAGCCAACAGGGGAAGGAGCTTTGAACCCTTCACCACAAGGGATCCAACCCCCCCCCCCCCCCCACCACCCCTCTCCCTGGTCTCATTACCCCCCCCTCCCCCCACTCCCTGGTCTCATTACCCCCCTCCCCCCCCCCTCACTTCTGTGACGCTCTGCCACACAAACACACTCACTCACTCTTTGTCAGCTTCCACTTTCCGAGAGATATTTGATCTCTTGAAAAAGTCGTCGTAGTATTTTGTCTTAACTCATTCGCGTCACTATTTTTAACCCATTTAATATTGTTCACCATTAATAACAAATAGATAATCTATCCGTTTATTTTAAGCGTTTTGCATTTAGTTGTATTTTAGTCCTCAGGAGATTCCTACTATACACCTGAAAGTATATATCAAGTTTGAAGTATGTCATTCATAACGCAATAACACGGTCATAATTTGAATAACTCTTGCACTAAACATTCTGAAAATAAATGAAACCCCGACAAAATATTGAGTCCTAAACAGAGCTGACTGGAAGAAAACGGAGCAAATTCCAATACCCATTTTCTCTGCTCCGAAATATAAAAAGGACTCGCATCTCTATTTAGTCATATTTTTCACTCTTACTTTTTGATAGTGAGGGATGTGCTTAATTTAGGCAGATGATGACACTTTAACTTTCTTTTGAAAGTTTTCCTTCTTTCTTATAGTGTCTCGCGAGAGCCGGTCGAGGAGAACAACTTTCTCACATTGATACGTAGAAATACACATAAAACAATGGAAGGGGAGGGAACTATCAGGAGAATGCGTTAAACCATTACGACTATTTAGCAGTTGGAAGGGATCGGAATAAGGGTTTGGGATGGGACGGGGAAGGAATGGTGCCCAACTACTTGGACGGTCGGGTATTACACGTCGACCTACACGAAGCTAGACCGTCGGTCTGCTGTTCAGCCCAAGTGGTTAAAAATCTCTTTATGCTTATATATATATATATATATATATATATATATATATATATATATATATATATATATATATATATATATATATATATATATATATATTATATATATATATATATATATATATATATATATATATATATATATATATATATATATATATATATATATATTTATCAGATAAATATGTAAATAAATCATTTACGACAATTATTTTTACACACCATATTTTCTCGTGACTTATGCAGGATATCTACATCTGTTTATCACCTAATACGACATTAAATTTTTTGTATTATGTTGCATTAGTTCTAAAACATATGAATGATACACATTTAATTAGGTACGATCTCAAAACAAGAAAGTAGGCCTATTTAAAGATAAACCAAGTATTGCATATGTTTTTCCCTGAGCCTTACAAGGATTTAACTCCAAGCACTCTTTTGTGTGTGTGTAGAAATAGTTATATTTCAAACTCGAGACCAACGAAAATAGGTCACTCACTTACCCTTACTCAGACATCTTCAGGAATTAAATATTAGCCATGAGTGGCAGGGAATGGTAGGGTCTACTCTTATGTGCAGATGCGAGACGCTAATATCGTAAAAGAATGAATGAAAATCTAAAACGCTTCAACCCATATTAAAGTTTCATGTACAAGAATAGATCCCTTACATCAAATATCTATATTTGGGTACTTTGTGCCATAATATTCGTAAAGATCTACGTAGCATTCAGAGATAATGTTACGCACAGAAATGGTGTTAATATGTGTTCATGTCATAATAATATTTGACCTGAATAAATTTAGCTTGTTAAGCTTTAAGTTAACCTTTTTAAGTAATCAAGCTGCCTTGCCCGAGGCGTTGGAGGACGCCTTACGATACCCTGAACACGACGACTGACAACTTAAAGTTGTGTCTCTTACCGTAGAGAATTGTCGATATAATTCCTCAGTGTCCGGCGAGCACGACTGGTCACGAAACGACACTTTCACTTACAACCATTTCACTGTTATGATTTCTGCTTCTCTCTGCCTGAACCTCGACGCCTTAGAATCAAGTCATATTGCCAGCATGAGACGCGAGTCGAGCAACTCTGAAACCTCGACTCCAATGTTTACACGCTATCGCGTCTGCTGTAACGAGATCGTTAAAGCCATTATGGTATGATATATTTTAAATAATTTTTACTGTATGTCTTTATTTCTAAGAGAAAATCTGATATGGATTTATACAAATCGCTGAGTTTTTATTGTTATTTATTTGTATTTTCCTTCGTTGTCATAGGTTTTCATATTATTCATCACAAGTAAATTTGTTTGTGATTTATGCGCGCGCACACACACACACACTTGCTAGGCGAGTACACACATGCACACATGATGTGTACGTGCGCGGACAGTGCTTAGGCAACCCGTCCTCAGACAGCCCGTCCTCGCGTTGCAACCCGTCCTCACACTAGGCTGTTTAAAGCAGCGGCCGTCCTCCCCAGACGCATTCATCAATTGTAACATACTGTGTATTAAAAATTGGTTTGTTCTCATATATAATTTAATATTCTTATACATAAAAGTTGTATGTATAGTTTGGCGGAGGTTAGGTTAGGTGTTTAGGTTCTGTTGGTAATTATTTGTATTTGAAGTACGTGGGTGAAGCATTTATAGAAATGTGGTTCGAACAGAGGACGTGAGCGAAGCACTTGTTCGGGAAGTATTCGGACGTCATCAGTTGTGAATCGTGTGTAAACCGCTTTTCATTCATAAACAGGGGGGTTTGGCAGCTAGATTAAAGAGCTTGGATCTTTGTAAGCAAGGACGGGTTGCGCATTCACAGATCCAAAGCTCGTTAATCCAGCCGCCAAACCCCTTGTTTATGAATGAAAAGCAATTTACACACGACTCACAACCGCAACCCGTCCTCGACTCAAGTCCATTACATCCAGCGGTCGACCCCACAGACGTATTCACATATTTTAACATGCTGTTCATCCAAAACGGGAATGTTCTCAAATATAAATTAATATTATAATTATTAGCATATTGTGCATATATAGGCATAGGTTAAGTTAGGTTAGGTTAGTTGTTTAGGTCTTGTTGGCGATTATTTGTATTTGTATTACGTGAGTGAAGCCTTTATAGCTTTGTGGTTCGAATAAAATTTGTAAGTGAAGCACTTGTTCTGGAAGTGTTCGAATGTAATCAGTTGTGAGTCGTGTGTAACCCGTTTTTCATTCTTAAACAGGGGGTTTGGCGGGTGCATGGAATCACTTTGGGGTCTTTGTTTGGAGGACGGGCTGCTGTAATGTGAGGACGGGTTGACTCGGGAGTTGCAGTTCACAAACCCAAATTCGATTCCCGGTCGAGGCAGAACCAAACGGCCCCGAGTTTCTTTCACCTGATGTCTCTGTTTTCCTAGCTGTAAATAGATTGCTGGGAGCTAGACCGCTGTTACGGCCTGCATCCTAGGGATGTGAGTGCGAGAAATATATGTAGCAGATATGATAGAGAAAAATAGGTCGACAGTCAATACATTAGACAATCGACGGTTAGAAAGGTGGGGTCCAAGAGCTACCAGCACATCAACACCTGTAGTACCTACTAAGGTTTACACTGGAACCACAAGTGTCAGTACATCAATATCTAGGTCGCCCAAACCCTACCTGAGGTTAGATGTATATCTTCGCTTTACGCAATGTGTCTGAATACATCAACTCATCCTCCTGTTTACATAGGAACGAAATGGGGGGTAAAAAAATGAGAAGTGGTGATTGATAAGCGGGATAGAAATAGAGAGGAGAAATGGATAGTGCAAGTGGATTAGAAAGTGAAAGAGTGGGTCAGGGGGGGTGAGGTGACAGGAAAATTCAATAATACAAAATTTGAGGATGTGGTTGGGTTGAAGAATTGGCAAATGGAATTGATTGAGAGAGAAGTAGAGAAGTAGGTGGTCGGGAATGAGGTGTGTGGAGTGGAGGCTGGTTAAAAATTGATAAAAGTCCTTGGCATTTCTCCAGAGCAAAAGTTTATAGTCTGACCTATGTGAGGCTTGAAATATTGCGCGTCCAACACACTACGTTGGGTCGCTGAAAGGGTGGGGGTGGGGGGAGGGGGTTCCTGGTTTGGTCGTGTTCACATATTGTTCAAGGGGTTCAGTTAGGAGAGTTCAAGTGAACAATATGGCGGATTATCTCAACGAACATTGGGAGTGGGATTATCTTAAACATTCTGGGGGCATCTTGCGATTTTTAATGACTCAGGTCGTCCCAGTGGACAAAACTTGCTTGAAATACGGTAAATTATCGTGGAATTAACGATAAATAAACGCAGAATCTATATTCTAACGTTAAATCAACGTAAAAAAATTACCTTTATTTACATTAATCAATGAAGAATCAACTTTATTAACGTTAAATCAACGAAAAGAACCAATGTTATTAACGTTGATTCAATGTTTTTAAAGAACGTCGTTTTCCCAGATTTACCCAAGGGGAGACGCAGGGGTGACTGCCCTAACTCCCCTCCTGACGAAGGTCACGTCCCTCTGGCCGGAGAAGTGAAGTTGTGTCCTACATACTCATTGAACGACAGCTGTCAGACACCTGTCGTTTGACCTGCAAACTTCATTTGTTTTTTAATATATTTTCTCTTTCATTTTAAGCCTCAAAAGTCATATGTTTGTCATGGGGCTGCAATACGCAATGTTTGTTGCGTATTTCAGCATCATTTTGTTACGTATTTTCTTCCTATCGAAGAAAATTACAGGGAAATAAATAACTGATTTTTTTTTACGTGTGAACTTAGACTTTGAAAATTTTCTTACAATCTGTCTAAATCTAAATTGTAAATCCAGTGTTTGTCTCCAAACTATGTTGTTTTTAGATTTAGCTACTCATAACGAAGTGTCCATGTAGCACGGGCTACAGTGAGCCCGGCTTTGTAAATACAAGACTTAATCACCTGACTGATGAATGACAGCTTCTAGGGATAATATTCATCAATTAAGTTTCCACTTACGAGATCTGTATATCTTTCACCCGGTCCCATTTAGACAGATATCACATCAGGAACATCTTCTCACCCGTGTAAACAGCTATCGCCCAAGCATTACCATCGCTGGCTATCGAACCACCACAGTCACAAAATCTTTGTAGTTTTATGCTCTCAGCTATAACACGAATGCAGTTTTTGTAAAGTTAATCATATACTTTTTCATTTTCTTTTTGTATAAAAACTCTCTTCTCTAATCTGTCTGCTGCAATTTTTCAGGCTTAGTGACGTTTTATATTATATATATATATATATATATATATATATATATATATATATATATATATATATATATATATATATATATATATATATATACATATATTATTTTTATTCAGTGTTACTGGACACTAAATTAAAAATTATGGCTCCAAGACGATGATAATTACGACTCTTTTTGTCCAAATTCGTGAGTATTTTCACTCTGCTTGAACGATCAGAACACTTTTACGACAGGTGCCGCCACGCTGGTATTGACGGGAAGAACGAAACGGTATACTAAGGTGCCTGAGGAAGCTGGGAAGAGACGGTAGGAGCAGAGGGAGAAGAGGAGGAGGAATGGGTCTCCTGAAGAAGAGGTGTCACCTGAAGGAGAGGCAAAGGTGTATTGGATGTGGCGGTGGAAGAGAGAGCTGAATTTAGAGGAGGAAGAGGGGAAGGCAGAGGAGCCAGAGTTAGTGGAGTGAAGGAGGAGGAAGAGGAAGAGGAAGAGGAGGAGGCGAGAGGAGGAGAAGGCGACTGGTAGTATAGAGGAGGTAGAACAGTTGAAAGGGGTAGATGGGTCGTGGGATGAGGAGGCTGCGTGGCTGGGTGATGCTGGTATGTGGGAGGGGGCAGAGAGGCGATTGAAGAGTTTGAGATGGAACGGCTGGGATGGGGACGTGTGTGGGTGGTTGGGGAAAGCGTCCGTATGGTGGAGGCGGCGGGGAGGAGTGACTGGGAGGACAGCGATTCGCTTGGACGTCGGGCCGAAGTACTGGGGTGTAAAGGAGAGTGAGAGAGACTACGGTGGAAGCTGGGGAGACGGGGCGAAGAGGTAGTCGAGGCCTGGGGAGTGGACGTTGCTTGGGGAGGATGACCAACTTGCGGGGTGAGAAAAGATGGGGAGTGAGGATTCGCCGGACGCGGACAAGGCGGCAAAGAGTGCTTCCGTGAAGGATGCATCAGTGGCCAAGGAGGCTGGGAAGGATGTAGAGACTGGAGAGGATGTAGAGACTGGGAAGAAACAGGAGGTATGCGATGGATCAGGATGAAGGATCAGCACACACTGGCAGAGATCGCTCGATTACATTCTGCTTCGTGACATTTATTCCAGAGTGAGGGAGGGAGGGAGGGAGGGTATATGTGTGTGAGAGAGAAGTAGGGAGTGAGGGAGGGTATGAGGGAGGCAGAGAAGCGATTGAGGAAGGGTATACAGTAAACAAATTATGTATATCCAGTTACCAGTGGATATACATAATTATATTATGTATATAATTATACAGAATTATACACTGGCATATGTCTGTTGTATGCAGGACTTAGTGCTATTATTATAATTATTATTATTATTATTTATTGTGTCAATTAGCCCTTTTATAGAGCTAAATCTTTTCCATTGTAACTGCAATCATTGTAAATGACAATGACTCTACACTGAATCAAGGTAGACGATATGATGTTTGGATTATACAATGAATATGAATAATGAGTATAAATATTTATGTGTGAGTGTGTGTGTGTGTGTGTGTGTGTGTGTGTGTGTGTGTGTGTGTGTGTGTGTGTGTGTGTGTGTGTGTGTGTGTGTGTGTGTGTGTGTGAGTTTTTATTCACCAATTTGTGCCTGCAGAAACGAACTTCAGCTCCTGGACTAGCTATCTCCTGGCTCTCTAATCAGGAGATTAGAAACTTTATCTATCTCTATATAATTGACTCGTCAATTATTTATCCGTCATATCTACCTCAGAAGGAGTATATATATATATATGTGTGTGTGAAGTTCACAATGACAACGTCCTCATATAATTAATTACATTTTCCTACCGCTGTTAAGCTCAAAGAAAACTGTTTTAACATCTCTTTGGCACAACTGTTTTTTCAAGCTTCCATTCAAGCTGTCTTGTGTGTGTACTAACCTATATATATACTACTATATATAGGTATATACAGGCGTAGGTATACTACGCCTGCAGGATTGAGGTTAAATGTCTGCGTTTGTTTGTGCACTCAACCATGTATGTGCCTCTAGATTCTTCTATGTATATCCGCCCAAAAGTATTCATAGATACATATATGTGTAAACTACTATGTTGGCTTATAGATGAATGTAAATTCCCAGCTTGTGTGAGAAAATTGGGAGACGCTGTAATAGAAGAAAACGGAGATTTATTTTCTCTTTTTCAGGGAGAACAACTTTAATTACATGGAACTGGTACTTTCATGACATTGAATAAATGCGAATGAATTTTTATCCCGACAAATAACTGAAAGCTATACCGAAGCTTGTTAAGACGATTAGAGAGAGAAAGAGAGAGAGAGAGAGAGAGAGAGAGAGAGAGAGAGAGAGAGAGAGAGAGAGAGAGAGAGAGAGAGAGAGAGAGAGAGAGAGAGAGAGAGAGAGAGACTGACAGAAGAAGAAATAGACAAATACGACAAAATATTTAATTCACCTCACGTACTGATAGACAAATGAGAGTATGATTGATCATCTCAAGAGAACTCAAACAGACAGACGCCTTTACATCAATCAATTCCGGAAATATTAAGACCTCGAGCTGACCTCAAGGTGAAGTTCAACTTCTGGGTGTAGGTCGACCTCTGGGTAAAGATCAACATCTAAGTACATCATTGTCGCAAAGACAAACTCGACAAGGCCAATTAACCCAACATACTCAGAGTGCATCATTGTAAATTGTAAATAAAACCTCCTGGACTCACAATTCTGTGACCCGAGTCCAATCCACGAGTCAGGACGGAAACATATACAAGTTTTCTTACACCTGATGCTTTGATATGCACCATGTAGCAAAAACAGGTACCATGGTACCATGGACACTTGCATGGTACCATTGTACCATGCAACTGCCGTGGCTATCGCAAGGCAGAAATCACCAGCACCCATCAAATAATAAAAAAAAAAAATCCACATATAAACTCACTAATCAAATCAACTGAATAAAATGATTAACTCAATATGAAAAAATAGTAAAAATAGACCCCAGAGCTAGTAAGGCGTGATATGAACTAACAAGAACCCGGGAAAATAAAGTACAAATTGTTTCTTACACCCATTATATATATATATATATATATATATATATATATATATATATATATATATATATATATATATATATATATATATATATATATATATATATATATATATTAGTCCCTTCATGAATCTCAGCCTCTCTCAGCCCCTTCACGACTCACAGACTCAGCCCCTTCACTTCTCAGCCCCGTTTCTCTAACTTTACCCATCACGAGTTGTCAAGGGAGGGAGGGAAGAGAGAGCAGGGAGAGCAGGCAGGACGTGATTACACCAATTACGAAGGGAGGAACTGGAAGAAGGGAAGTAGTAGGTAGGGAGAAATATGGAGGAAGGAAAGGGAGACGGTAGGAGATAGAGCAGAGAGGAGAAGTAGAGAATGTGGGTTGAAAGAGGAAGGGGGAAATATAGAGAATAAGGGAGATACAGAGGACATTTCAGGGACCATTACAGAATGCATTAGAGAATTCACTACAGTGTTCTCTACAGTATTCCCTTCAATATTCACTACAGTATTCTCTCAAGCATACACTATTCGCTACAGTCTACAGTATATTCTCTACAGTACTGGTTAGGGTAGATATTTTGCTTCCAATGATGATAGGAGGTTAATATACAGAAATATGACACGTAGAGAGACGCAGAGATACAGACAGTATACTGATACATAGACACTATTCAGTATACTAATACACAGACACTGGCCAGTATATTGATACACAGACAGCTACTCACTTGGTTGTATCTGACTCCAAACGTCATTCATCTTAATGTAATTA